TATATATATATACACACACACACAAACACGCATGCAGCTTAACTGCATGTGGACGATACGGTATTACTGTGGTATGGATCCAGTGGTAAGTCCCTGCTCCTAAGTGGCAAATGAACGTTGAACGTTCCTATTAAGCATGAGCAATCCTGCAAGGAAATCATACAGAGAGCTTCTCCTTCCTCAAGAATTACTGGTACTTCTAGAGACACAGGAAGATTTTCATTACATAGCCTGTTGCCAGCTATACTTTCAGCATAAGCCCATCCCCTTTCTGTTACTGTTATGTCAGGGGAGGACAGTGAAAGAAAGCAGCTCTTGGGATGATACATGGGAGGCAGTGCTTCATTTATAACCCCACACAAATGCTGGAAAATGTTCAACTTTAAAAAGCATTAGGTTGGTTACCTTATGGGCCCCTGTGGACCAAGAAGTGAAATTACATGAACACAACATATCTATTAATCACCACAATGATTCCACATGTGAGAAACAGCCCCAATGGCATACATTCAACTGGAAAGAAAGTTGAGAAAATTACCTACTAGTAGTTAGGCAACTCAAAAAAATTTGGTAGTACCTTTCTGTAGGGCTCCCCTCTTGATTCCTCAATGAATTCAAGTATTTAACTTGGATTAAAGCCTAGTCCATAGAAATATACAGCGGAGAGTAACAACGGCATTTCTACCTAAACATGTGGGTTTCCTCTCAGCCAGAGTTACAAATAAGCTACGCTTATATGAGATGCATAGGTGACTGTCTGCTTCACAGTACTTTGTTTACAAGGTAAAGAAAAAAAAAAAAGGAGAAAAAAAAATTATTCTCAGACTTCTGCGTCAAGACAGATTACAGGTCAATTCAAGTTGACCTGTAATTGATTGATTTAGGTATTATTTCAGAGAAGAGAGTAGGCTACAGCAAACTTCTTCCATCCAGGATTTAGAAACTAGAATAATTTACATCACATTTGAATGAAGCCATCAACGTCATGGCTTACATCAATCCTTTACAAAGATCAGTGAAGATTAAACACAAAATCTCCATAGTTATTATGGGTAAGTATATGTGCTTATCTGTAAAATGTAAGGTGATGGACAACTTTTCATGTGCTCAGAATTAGCATTTAACCACAAGCCTGTGCTATTTTTATCATTTCCACTTTTAAGAAGCCTTGGCTAACATGACTCTGCTTCCTCAACGGTGAGCAGCAGACCCAAATGTGAAAAAGTAGACATCTTCGCTAATGGGGGAGCGTGGAAATGGAGGTCACACCAATTACCTCAAACCACTTGGCTGCCACAGCCATCTTTTCACCCTTGCAGTAAACAAACCCTTGTGGCTGGTCCGTACATGAAGCAATTCCTTTGAAGAGTGCTCCACATCTCAGTTCTCTTCAAGTCTTGATATCAACAATGACAGTACTTCGGAATAACACTTTAAAGTTCAGGTCTCCCAAAAAGAATCCCATGCAGATATCACAATCACTTTTAGCAGTTTCAGAAACCATCCTGTTCTTCAAGGTAAAGTGGTTTGAAACACAAAAGATGCACAATTAAATCTAAAGAAGTAACAATATGAAATAGAGGAGTTTATACTACCGGTTCCTTGCATAATGCAAGCTTATAGGATACAGAAGAAAAAAAATCTTTGTTTGCACACTATAATCTATATTAAACAGACGCTCAAAAAGTCAACAAATTCAATGTGTTAAGAAGCAACCTTTTAATAAAGAAAGCAGAACCATACTTTGCTGTTAACAAGTATTTTGAAAAAGGCTTATAAAATTATATCTAAGCCAATTATCTGGTGCATCTGCAGCTGAGAAGGAAGTGTCAATATTCCAAACATCTGTTCAGTTTGTGTCCTCTCCTTTCTTAGAGAGGAAGTATTAGCTTCCAGTTGTACAAGTGATTAAGAGAGCAATAAGGTATTGCTCAACAAAAACTATTTTCTTAGATGATTACAGACTAAGGCCAAAGAAGAAATTCATACATTAAGCACCATTACCAACATGGAAGCCTGTCAAAGATACCAGTTTGAATAGCACAGCTTTCTTCCTTGCCCGCCACGTCTAGGGGTCAGCTAACCACCGGGGGTGAGGCCTGTGAGAACAAGGAAATCGAACCATCATGGAAAGCATACTCCAGTCACACTGGAGTCAGCTGATGCCAGAGACTGGACAGCAGGAAGACTTCAATGTTTTCCATAATGGAGCTGAAGGGTGAAGAGTCCCAAAGCACTGGAAGAAACAGAACACAACAATACAAAATTAGCCCAGTTTCAAAACCAACATCCTTTTACAGGCTCAAGGTATGAACAAAGAACCACCCTGTATCTCTGCCTCAAGGCAACAGAGCTATGATCTCCTCAATGCTGACACCATGAAACAGGCTTGTAGTAATCATTAAATATTAGCCAAGACACACAAAAGAAGAAAAAACCCTCTGGAAGCCACGGCTCCTTGTCCACTCACCCCCAGTGCCCGCCGGCACAGTCCACTCAGCTGGAGGCCAGAACGCTGGGAGCACTCACAGGCCACAGCACCCGCAGCACCTAGGCAGAAGGGGGACGGGTTAGGACGGTGTTTCTCTATGCTACGACTCTTCCAGCTGCTCTGAGCACTGCGCCTTCAGTGTTGAACAGACTGGGGAGGAGGGTAGCGTATTTTCTTGGAAATTCAGGCATGGATTATTTATAGGTCATCGACTCAAACATGTGAAAACTGAACAGACCATCCACCAAGAACGGCCCGTGCTTCCAGACAGGATCCATATTCTAGATGCCATCTAAACAGTTCCAGAAATAAAGATTAGGCTAAAACAAATGGTGCAAACTCCCCTGCACCTTCTCAACCCATCCCCCAAGTATTCCGCTGGGACTCATGTTATCCTCGTACAAACCCTCTTTTCATGAGGCAGCAATGACAGGACTCATTTACTTTGAGGGTTTTACTTTGGCCCTCCTGGCTTCTATCATAACCTCAAATATTACATTAAAAAGGCTTTTAAAACATAACATTCACAGCAGCGCAGGAGCTTTTCATTGCAGCTAGGTTCTTCCCTGCCTGTTTGCGTGTGGCACCTTCACATTAAGTGCATGAGTTAAGATGTAGATTAGCAAGGCAAGAAACCTTTGCCCTTGGCATTGACACTCAGCTGTGAAAGGAAACTTCAGGCTTTTTTTCTATGAAGTGTAGAACCACTCATTACACATTGGCAGGGAAGTGCACATCTCTGAACTATACACATTTTCTCTTAGATAAGCAAAAGACTCAAGTGTTTATAAATATGAAAAGTTCAGCAGCTGGCTAAAAAGTTAATTCTCCAGTCTCACTTAATGAGCTTTGGGGAAAGCGGTAGGGGGATTTGTTCAGAAAGTAAAGCAAAGTGTCACAGAAAGCAGGACTTGCCAGACGGGGCTCTGTTTAGTCCTATTTTCTGTCTCTAGATGGCTGCTATCAGCAAAATGGCAAGGAATCCTCTAATGGGGAGCAACCAGAATGAGACATGTTTTCTCCTAATCTTGCAATCATAAAAATTAGCCAATTTTTAATTTAAGTCCCATGACTTCTTTCTTTCAAGCAATCCATACCAAAACACTTTGGAACATGGACTGTCTTAGGATTTTGTCCAATTCCCTAAACAAGGAAGTTGTTTTTTTTTTTCGGCTGCAATATTTTTTCAATACTTTAATATTAACTAATACTTGTCTACTCCAGTAGCATAAGGTTTGGACATAAAAAATGGGATTAATTTGCTTGGTTGTTCTCAGGAACTTCTGAGAAGGCTATTTACAGTGCCTGCTCTCACTCTGCCTCTCTAGTTTTCTCGAAGGCAGACTTCTCGGTGTCTTTATAAGGTATTACAGAAGGAATTGTGCAACATCACTTTTGCAAGATGATACTTAGCTACCCAGTTCTCCACCTATGTAATTATTAAAAAATAAGAATTCATACTGAATGGAAAAATAACCAGACCCTTTTGTCTGCAGTTTCAACAGAAGTTGTTTTATGTACCAGAATATTTTTCAGCTTGCTCCATGAACTGTCTAGATGATTGTCATCCCTTTTGCGTACCTCGTCCCTTCTGTCACTTATTGAGAAAATTCTGAACAGCAACTACTTAGGAAACAGAGCTGTCTCTGATGTTCAAGAACAGAGTGATTATCCAAGAGATCAGAAATCTAGCTGAAACCAACAGCAAGGCAGAGCTCTTACCCACTGAGAGCACTTGCAATCGAACTGCAGGTCATACGGAGCTCTCTACCACTGCCCATTCCACTGTCCTTACCTGCACTGACGCACATGGTATATCTTTCCTTAGTCAAAGAATATTAAAAGTCCAAGTTCAGGAGAACTAATACGCCACAGTTGGCTCTAACTGGATGTGCTGGTTTGGCTGGGGTATATTTTCTTCACAGTAGCTAGTATGGGGCGATGTTTTGGATTTGTGCTGGAAACTGTTGATAACACAGGGATGTTTTCGTTACTGCTGAGCAGTGCTTGCACACAGTCAAGGCCTTTTCTGCTCCTCACCCCACCCCACCAGCGGGTAGGCTGGGGGTGCACAAGAAGTTGGAGGGGACACAGCCGGGACAGCTGACCCCAACGGACCAAAGGGATATTCCGCACCATATGACGTCATGCTCAGCATATAGAGCTGGGGGAAGAAGGAGGAAGGGGGGACATTCGGACGTTTGTCTTCAGATGGAGCCCTGCTTTCCTGGAGGTGGCTGAACCCCTGCCTGCCGATGGGAAGTGGTGAATGAATTCCTTGCTTTGCTTTGCTTGCGTGCGCAGCTTTTGCTTTGCCTATTAAACTGTCTTTATCTCAACCCACAAGTTTTCTCACTTTAACTCTTCTGATTCTCTTCTGAATCCCACTGGGGGGGAGTGAGCGAATGGCTGTGTGGGGCTTAGCTGCCTGCCGGGTTAAACCACGGCACTGGATCTGTAAATGCTAAGCACTTCTGCCAGGACCAGTCCCTAGTGCCTGCAAACTCTTCCACCTGTGCAAGACACAACGAAAATCCCTCTGGCGCCTGGTCCCACGGCCAGGGAGTGCGGAGGCAGGACTGCCTCCCATTCCAGAGGGAGCCAACTCACAGCCGGTGCCAGGGCTCAAGTCTCTGTTGATGGTGTATTACGCTGTATACATTGGAACTAGTAAATGCTTCATTGTGATTTTTGGCCACTTGGAATATTTTTAGCAATTTGCCAAGGTTTACCCTGTGATTTATTATGGAGGAAACAAACTCAAGCACTAACAAATGAAAATATGTAAACTCTGCCTTTTCAAGTCAATAGAAAGGTATTCAACTTCTTAAAACCCTTTAGAGGCATGCAGTCTGCTGAAGATACAATTGCTGGAAACAACAGTTTGATTAAGAAGCAACTGAAATGTAATCTAAGTAGTCATATTTAAGTCACTTAGAGATTCATAGTGAAAAATTCCATATACACAATACTTTCCAATTGTCATTCCTAAAACTGTGTTCTAGATTTGTTGGAAATTCAACAATTCAACAATTTGTTGGAAATATATTTTCTATCGTTTTTTCACTAAGGCCAAAGCACTCCAGGTATCTACCATCTGGAACTTTATTATCTCAGATTACTATATTTAATAAGTTAAAACACAGTATCATGAAAAAATACTTCAAATAATGAAATACACAGGAAAAAAAATTTAATTTAGAAAGCTTAAAGCACTGGAATTACCTGCAGATTTATACACTAGATACAGCAAATAGTAATTGTTTTATTACAGTATTCTTGGATGGAGAGGCAGGTGTCATTAAAGAGAAGGTAAACTTCCATTTTCAGTACAAAAATTCAACTAGATGCTACTGCCACATACCTCTAGAACACAAGAGATAATGCTTTATAAAGTGTTAGCAGCCATCACAGCATTATCCACAGTTAAAATACTGAAGCAATCCATGAATAAAATTGGAAGTGTTAATTTGATATTGAATATCATTGTTTCTTACAAGTTTTTTGAATGCTTCTGAAAACATCAGGAATGGGATCAAGAGTACAATAATCTAATAATTAAAATAAGGAAGAATATTAGTCATTAGAGTATGATTGGGAGTTAACATTAATTCTATGTAAAATAGCAGAATACTGGAAGATGGTATTTCCTTCTCAGCTGTCAATCTCAAGAGATTAATACAGAATTCACTTCTTGTCTGTTTATCTCAATACACAGTTTCCACTTTTGCCAGTATTAAGCTAGCAGTGAGTGGCAAGAACTCCTTTGTCTGTGCCTGCCACCACTGTGACTTGGTTGGTGGAATGATGCAGCAATATGCATGCTTCTTGATCATCTTTTCAGCTGAATAGACACTATCCATCCTTTCCTATAGAAAATAAGGGAAATAAACGCACTGCCAAATGACCAAACCCTGGGAGTTTTTTCCCCACGTTTGGACATGTCACTTGACATTCAAAATGCCATTATGCAAAGCCAACTAACTCGTACAAAGTCTTTTTTTGGTTCAAGAAAACTAGCAGAGGGAACTTCACCAAGCAATTCTTTGTTAGCATAACACTTGACCTTGTATCTCTTTGGAAATCATACAACTTTGCTAATGCAGTCCTTACAGAATTAATCAAGCAGATAGTTAGACCCTAGTTACTATGAACCCAGCCAATTATGAGCAGCACTGAAATTTGTCACTGGCATGTCCAACTACATTTTCCAACATAAAGATCAACAGAACTGTGTGGAAATGAGGCCCCACTCTCAGACCTGCACGACTTGGATGCTGTAGACTAGAATCGCTAGCAAAGCCAATGCTTTTAGGAATAAAGTATTCTTAAGAAAAAAGGCTTATCTCCCGGGTCTCCATTACCTGCTGAATTAAAACAGCAAGAAACCATAACGCCTTTCACCCTCTATTTTGACTAGCAAAGCTAGAATAAATGATTCATTGAGAGTACAGAGCTCTTTATTTGCCACTCCGCTCCACTGCATGAGATCCACAGTTCAATAAAGGCCAAATATACTGCATGGCTTCGTTTGAGAAGTGGGGAGGGGAAGCTGCCTATGCAGTTTCTCCCTCTGTCAAAGTAAGACAGCCCAGCTTTCAGTGTCCAGGGAAAGATGACATCAGGAATATTAACAGATAAGCAAGGAAAAGAAACCCTAAAAAGAGCAGGGCAGAGAGAAGGAGAAAGGAGATGGACACAGAAGGCACCCATAAGAACAAATGGCTCAACAGCAGGCATATTTAGATATATTTAAAGCAGCACAGATTAGAAACGTATCTAGGTAAAAGCCTGATTGCCATTGTCAAGTCCAATTTCTATCCTTGAACAGGTACTCAAATGAGAGAACTGTGCTCACTGAATACGTTCTCCACCCAGTAATTGGAACCAGATGAGATATAAAACCATTGGTCTAGTTTCCAAAAGGTAAGTGACAGCTAACTAACTTCTGAATCTGGCTTGGAAGTTAATAGTTACTTTACCTCTGTTTTCATCCATTCCATTCACATCATGCTACTAGTTTCCAATGCTCAGCAAAAGACCTGTTTCTCCTGCAGTCCAGCCTGCCTTTTACTCACTTCTCAAAAACTCCAGTCAACAAATTCATTTTTTTGAGGCTCTCATGCTGCAGTCTTCCACTTCTATGAGAATAAAATCCATACTCAACACAGTCCTCTGTGGCAAAATTTCTCTGGTGCTGAAATGCTGCTCTCTCACCATAAGAGTGCAAATTAAAGCCATGGTATATTATAGTAACAGTTCACCTTGTTGTCAAAATAGACATTTTGCCCAAATGTCAACAAGTGTTCGTCACTAACTAGATTCTTACAAAAGGAGATAAAATAATTCACGCCCCACAAGCATGAGACCACTAGAGCCTACTTCACCATGGACCTCAAAACTCCCAAAGATCCCACAAGTTACCTAAGTAAGCCCCATGACAGAGACAATACTTACAGCTTTAGCAAAAATGACCATCAGCTCAGGGAACTGGTGCGTGAGGAGGGCAAGCATTGCTGAAAAGGAACATAGGCCTGCTGTGAAATGGATGAAAAAGGGAAGTTCCTTCTGTGGGTAAACGGAGACTTCATGAAATGCTGAAAGGAAAAAATGAAGAATATTGACATTTGATAAATCGAGGACAGTTTTATGAATTATTTACACAGTCTTGTAACTCTGTTCTAGACTTTCAGAAGGAGTAAGTATGGACTCAAGACTATTGTGCATTACATGTTAGGTCCCAGTACTTAAACGTCTCAAAAATTTTTCCCCTACATTACATGCTTGTCTTCATTATTAATAGTCATTACATCTTTCTCTTCCCAATCTTCTTTTTCACTTGCATAGGCTTTATTTTTGAAGCATTTCATCAGACTTAGGTTTTGGTACCTACTCTTTTAACAGGACAGAGGGAAGAACTGTAAAATTCACAAGCTGTCAAAATTACCTAGACCAATTTAAACAATTCAGGTGTTTTCAACCCTCTGAAGCATTAATCCTGTTACCTGAAGAGAACAGCACGTCTCCCCATCCTGTAAGAAGCTCAGCAAGTACAAAACAACCATCATATTACATATACATGCAACGTAGCTCCTTAATACTTTTCAAAGATTCTGGTTGGTAGGCTACAGTAAATTTTTTCAGAGCAGCTGACACAGTAGACCTCAAAGAAAACAGTACCAGGACTAGGTTATAAATTCCATACATAGCAGCTCCTTACAATTTCCAATCTATGGTAACAAAATCAAAAGAAGGTGATTAGACAGGCTAAGGGCTCGCATATGGAGCTTTCAGCACTCAAGACACTACTACTGGTTACTAGCTGAGGACCTGTTTGGTGAATTTGCAATTACTTACTGGCTCTGAATACCTGCAGCTCTGACTTTTATCCAATGATTTTAAAGGGTTTTTAAATGAAGAAAAAAATAGTTTCTATAGACATAAGTAATTATGAAAGGGCTGCACACTTCTTGACAAGTGTTTTTAAAATCTAACAAAAGCCTCAAAATTTAAGTAAGCCTTTTCGTAAAACAAGAAAATACAATTGCATTCATTTTTAAACTGAAGTCTGAGGAGGAAAAAGACACTTTACCCTCGCAGTTACTGTTTCTGAATGTGGCACATGAAAGCTACCATTATAAGAGAAAGCCCAGCAAAAGTGGCTTGTGCTGTTGCAACTCTTTAATGGCAAAGTGCTTGTGTTTTGTTTTGCTTTTAAGTATATGATTTTGGAGCACGACTAAGTAGAACATTTGGAGTTCCAAGTCTAATGCCCATCAGAGATGTTTAATGTTATCCCAGAGATTATCAGTTCACCTTCTTAAGACGCAACCAGCCCTGCTAGGCCATGATGCAGTATGATAGTAACACACTCCTACTTAATGAGCAACCAAAGAAACCACTTGTCTACTATGGAACACTGTTATGCTCTCATACCATGTAGAAACCCACCTGATTTTTAAAACATGGAGCAAAATAATTTAAGAAAGGTCCCAACATAAGTTACGAAAGTGTAAAAAAATATAGG